GCTAAACAAGGGGCAGAAAGGGATTCATTGTTTTGGGCTAAGCTGTAACGTTAGTGTCTTTTTCTTTTTTCCTTTCTTGAAGCTCTTTGTGACTCTTGGAAGATAAGTGTGTTTGTCTTCCACTTGTAAATTTTCTACTGATGAATTAATGAAAGTGTTGTTGATAAAAAAAAAATATTATTAAGTGGATTATGAGAACTACAGTACTCTTTAATGGCTTGAACAAAATCTTAGACTTAGGAGATCATGCTTTAACCTGTTTAAGAGAAATGGCACCATAGTGGATACAAAGATCGAGTAATCAACACCAATGGCTAATCATTCAAGGATTTGAAACCAACTCCTTGATTACTTGAAGATCTGAGTTTGAGCTCCAAGTATTTATTTTCATTTTTTTTCCATCTTTATATTTCAGATATGAGTTTAGGCATCTAAGATTCAGAGAAAAGTTATTACCCTAATCTCAGATCTAAGTTTAGCAACTGAACTTCAGACTATACTGACACACTCCCATGTGTGGAGAAGACCATCTACAGCACCAATGAGAAGAAGTAATCTTTTGCATGTTGAAGAAGGGCAACAAGGGCATAGCTGCATAAGTTGAAGTGATGAGAAATAATTTAAGGTCTCAAAATTTAACAATGGCTATGATACTGAACAGAGCAGAATGGCATAACAGGATTCACGTAACCAAGCCCATATAGTTGGGACAAGGCTTAGTTGAGTATTGATATACCCCTGTGTTGGTGTATGCAGTCCAACACAAGAGTAGTGAAATTGCACAAGCTCGAAGTGTTGAAGACATCTCAAATCTAGCACAATGACCATATATCAAGCGAGCTGCCACCTCCATCTCCTAATCTCTCAGACTCTGAAAAATGGTTTCATCTCAAAGCTTATATAAATAGTTGAATTGACAAACTCTATTACTATGTATGTTTTAATATTTTTAGTTCAAAGTAAAGAGTCAGTGCAAGGAATCAGTAGAAATAGCTGATAACAAATTCTGATGTATACTTTGTGAAGAAAAGTAGAAGACACTCAAAGGTTTCAGCAAGCAAGAGAGAAAGAGAGAGAAGAAGAAAAGAGAATGGGATGAAGCCAGAATTGAATAATCTGGCCGCCAACCCCTCTTTGATTATATACTTAAAAATAAAAGAATGGCAGATTACAAGAATGCCCTTAGTAGGGCGGCTACTTTAAGTAGCTGAACAGTCACAACTTAAATAACATAAACTAATGGGCCAAAAGCCCAATAACTTCCTAACTTAACAACTTAAAAATAAAAATAAAAGACTGGGCCCAATAACTTGAAATCGGCCCAACTCAACAGAGTCAATTGGATTTTGAATCAAATCTGGATATAAGATTCAGATAATTGAATTGATTCTGAATCTATCCCAATTTGGTTCCAATCCATTTACAGCTCTATTCCCACCACAAGACATTTTTTGGTTGCTATCACGCCACAAGGCATATTCCTCATCCATCCTAAATGCCCTGGTACATCACCACCTCTGTGCTTTTACACATCAAAAAAGGTCACAAATAAAAATTTTTCTGACATTTTCAGGGAGTCGGGACCTTGGATGGAAAAAAAAAAAGTTTTGAAATGGGAAAAAAGCAAGTCGTTTCTTTGAGAGTACAATCAATGCTTGTCATGTGAAATTCAATGTATTTTGCAATTGCACCTTAAACCTATTACTATCCATCCTAAGTGGTAAAACCGAAAAGCAAAAATGATATTGGATCTGATACTTATCAGGTCAAGTCAAACACTAACAATCTTAACTTCATAATCAAGCAAGACAACCATAACTCAAGCATCAGAGTACCATAACTAGAACGCAGAGTACCATAACTAGAACGCTATACGGTTGCACTTAGTAGTCTAAAAGCTCAACAGGGAACATTATTAAATAATGCAATAGGTACACTTTTCTGTTTCCATATTAAAACACCAAAATCAATAATAAACTAAAAGAGAGTTATAAAATAAAACAATCCAATAATGATAGCCTCATACTCAGAAAATAAAAAGATATCCAAAAGATTGTTACAGAATTTTATAGATGGTAAAAACATATGATAACAACAGAAGGACCTTGACTGAGACAAGACTAAGACAAGCAGAGGAAATTCAAAATACAATACCTTCAAAGTTGGGTCAGTGCCAAAAGGAGATCGGAGTTTTCCATAATGCTGGCAAGCTATTTTCAATAAAGAGAAAAGCAATCTCAAAAGCTCGCCTTTTCTGTAGTCTATGTGGGGGGTCTCACAGTTTGCAATTCTCTCATCAATCCATTTATTCAATTCTTTACTTCCAACATTCCCACCAACCAATGGTCCAGGAAAAGACTGTTGGCACAGACTACGGAAATAATCACAAGCACCAAATCCCATGCTGCTTGTATCAATTTTGTCCATGACAACTTCCATCAAGTTGTGAATAGAAATTGAATCTCCTACAGAGTCCTTCACACAAATGAACATACATTTGAGACTTTTGGTGTCGGAAAATTTCAAAATAAACATAGTTTATGAATTGAAAATGCAAACATTTTAAGGTTTGATTTTTAAGGAAAGATTAATATATGAGCTCAGAGACTAACCTGGCTTGCAAAAGCTGAATTGGTGACAAAAGAGCTGTTATTTTTCATGACAATGAGTTTTCCACCAAAACCAAAAGTAACAAGGGCATGAGGAGGACGGCCTGCAGATGACCTCCCTTCTTTGGCGGCATAGGAAAGCTGATTGCCTGCATGAAAATGCTGCTGTGAAAGATTTCCTGATTTCTGGTTGCCATAGTAATCATGCGAGGAATTGATCTGTTGGCCCTTCTCTGCTTCCATCTGTTTAAACTGATGGGAGAAGTTGTCAGATGGAACAAAGCTCTGAAACCCAGTAAACCCATTACTTCCATCATAGTTGTGAGTTGACTGCTCATATGAAGAAACTGTTCCAGTTGGCATAAACCCCAATTTTTTATCCACATAGTTATTTACATGACCACTTGAACCATAAAGATTTTTAGATTGCTGGTTATCAGTAAAACCAAATGCAGACTCGCTCTTAGTGACAGCCCCAGATTGAAATATATTTGTATTTTTCTGAGCATAATTACTTGTAGACCCAGCCCAGTCCCCAACTTGGTCTTGACCACTAAGGACTTGTGATCCATAGTTTTCAACTTGCCCATACTCACCATACTGGTTCTGGTCTTTCTCAGGGTGAAGATCACCTGCCAAAGGATTCTCATTTTGGTTTTGCTGGTAATGAGTTGTGTCTGTTGGCTGAGCAGCTGCAGTATAAGATTCTAACATGTGCCATTCCTGGGCAATTGTATCATAGTACCAACCAGGGTACTGAGGATCAAATACCATATGTGATGGGTACTCAGTGCTCATTTGTGAGGCCTGATTCCAGCTTGAGACGGTACCTATTGTACAGGCCTCAGCAATGGTTCCTGCAACAGACTGAGTTGTTTGTTGCAAATAAGAAACCTCTGATCTTTTGTCTGAAACAAGTTCATTACCTGTTGACTGAGCAAAGCCTTCAAGACTCCCCTGTGTATTGATACTTGTTGCATCATAACCCTCCACTTGATGCCATTCCCCATTATTTGGGTCATATCTCCATCCAGGGTAGAGATTTTCCCAATATTGGCTATTATACATATCCTGTCCACCTGTAGTCTGTTCCGTGGCTGATCTATACACTTGATCCTCTTGTTGCTGCAGAGAACTGAAAGAAGTCGTCATATTGGCATCCACATTTCCTGCAATGTTAGATATAGTGTTGGAAGCAGCCTTAGGATTATCCTCTGCCTTCTCCAATGGAGCAACTGAGCTGTCCCCAAACTCAGTAAAGAAATCTGAGTATGACCCAAACCCACTGTCACTATGCTGAGCCAAATCAGAGTTAAACGAACTCCATTGGACTTCTTTAATACTTGTATCCCTGGATACACCGCTCTCGCTTGTTGTGGAATCTGAGGCAACATTCGCCCCTGTAACAGTATCAATTGAGTAGATCGCGTTATCAAAAGAAAATGAATTGGAAGATACGAGGGAAACGTTCTCCTCCGCAACCACAACTTCCTTTTCGGGTGCATCTGCTGATGGCACAATGACATCTTCGGAATGCTTCACCTCTTTGTTAGCAGACGCGTCAGCTTCGCCAATGGGACCTGATACAGTACCGACCTCAGCAATGCTCAGATTCGAAAATGCTTTCACGTCATCGGAATCATCGCCCTCGGGAAAATCAGACCCAGATTGCGTAACAGCAAACTCATCGTCAACAAGCTTGTCGAAGAAGTCCTCATCCGTCTGATCCTCCACCTGCAATGGAGGAGAGGCCATCGAATACAATCCTAAACCCCCTAAGATCCTTCTTCGAACGGCTATCCCGGATCCAACCTAAATCAGCAAAATTCACAAGAATTCGCCTCACCAACACTCAAAAATCCGCCCCGAGCCACTCCTTGGGAATCCAAACATACACAAACGAGCTAAAATCACCAAAATCTTCTCTCTCAAACCTTAGGACACAAAGCCAGATTCAGAGTCGGCAGAAATAAGAACCCTAGCCATTCAAAACAAAAGGGATCTCCAATCTCCAATTCCAACACCCGAATTAGGGCTCAACGCCCAAATAATCTAACAAAACCCAAAACAAGCAAGATCCACCCTTCCTGAGATCTGCCGCTCAAAAACCATAAATCAAACAAAATTTTCAATAAGAAATGGAAAATTCCCCTCAAACACAAACTCTTCGATTGAAGAACGAAGCTGAAACCTTCATGAAAATCAAGGACTTACAATCAAATTAAGGATTACCAGGGCGATCGGAGAAACAGCAAAGAGAGCCGAAGCAGAGACAAGCCCCTGGTTTCGCACCAGCCGACATATCACCCACCCTCCAAAGCCTCGTTTTTTCTTTTTTTTTTTTTTTTGCTTCTTCTGTTTTTTTTTTTTTTTTTTTTTTTTTTTTTTTTTTTTTTTTTTTTGCTTCTTTTATATTTTAATTTTTACCGCCAAATACGAGCGCGGAGTCGCACTTTACACCGGGGGAAGGGAAGACAACACAACGCAATAAACACAAAAAGAAACACTTTGTTTTGTTTTCGAGCTTTGCCAGTATCTAGGTAAAAATGGTAAATAAAGGAACCTGCGAGGGCATCATGGGGAATGCATTTTTTTTATTTTTCGCTAAAAGGTATCGCATATTTGTATTATTCTCTAGTTTTTTGGACAATTTTGTCCACCTGAGATACGCTATTTGCTGTACGTGTGATGTATCTGCACTGCATGGTAGTGGGACCCACCAACGAAGCGTCCACTCGACCATCCGATTACTGGAGTGCACCCTTCATCATCGATTGTCTAGAAGTCAGATATTGGATGGTACAATTTGCTGAGAAAGGTTGACATGTTGACCTCAAGAATTTTAGGTGGGGCCGTGGATGATGTGGCATAATCTCGTGGAGTGGATAGCTCTCTCTCTCCACCGAAAAGGACGAGTGGGCGTCAATGAGTTAGTTAATGCTGAAGGGTAAAGTTGGGTTTTAGGAAAATATAAGTTAGTTAATGATAAAGGGGAATGGATCGGGCAGACCCAGCAGAACTGGGCCAAACTGACCCGATTATATCGTTTATTTATTTTTGTAAAATAGGATACGGGTTGCATCATGTGTCTCCACCAAGGTTTTTAAAACCGGATCCGACAGCGAACCATTCTGAGTCTGGTTCTTGGGTCAAATGGTCCGAATGGATGGCCTATTTTAACAAAAAAAATAAAAAACGGCCAAAAATGGTTATCCAAGTTGACGATTCAATGGTTTGACCACCTGGGTCAATGGTTTGTTGACCAAAAAACAGTTTTGGTGTAAAATGAAATTGGTCACGTTTTTTTTATCCAACCATCCGGTCCGGTTCAGTTTTGAAAACCTTGCTCTCCATTTATAATTGGCTGTTATGAGTTCGGCTTCAATAACTGCAAAGCCCATTCGAACATCCTTTAGAGCCTTGTATTGAGAGTATCTCTGTACTTGTGTGCTTTATTCCATTTCCAGTGCAAGGTTGCAAGAGGCTTTTCGAACGGTATGAACATGGGCTTGCACCGACTAAAGCCAAACTCGATTATCATTGATTCTATTTATTTAGGGTCATTTACTAAGACACCCCTATAGTTTTACGCATTTACTAAGACATCTGATATAATTTATGTATGCTAAGACACCCCCTTGCACCCTTCCATTGTTTTCATATCAATACTTTTTTAGACGTGAGTGTTAACATTTTTTACTATAATGTCCATTTAAGAGAAAAAAAATGATATGTTTTGTTTTTTTGTGTTACTAATGCTTAAAAATAAGTGTTTATTTTAAAAATAATGGCTCATTTTTTAAGCCCAAATTTTCAGTTTTTTTTAAGTGCATATTGTATAAGCACTTATTCAATTATTTTCTTCCAAAACTATCCCTAGTCGAATTTTAAAATACCACTAATAAAATTATCTCTGGTTGAACTTTGCAAAAGTATTTTTATGAAAGCACTTTTATAAAAACACATTTATGAAGCACTTTTACAAAAGCAAGCACTTTTATAAAAGCACTTTTGTAAAAGTACTTTTATGAAAGCATTTTTACAAAAGTACTTGTATGAAAGTACTTTCACCAAAAGCACCATTATTAAAATACTTTTACAAAAGTGTTTCATAAAAGTACTTTTATAGTGTTTTTATAAAAGTAATTTAATAAAAGTGGTTTCAAAGGGTATATTTTGAAAATTTGAAGGAAAATGAAAGACAAAATAGTCACAAATGCTTATTCGAGAAAAAGACTACCAAACGCCCAATATAAAATAAGTGCTTATTTTAAAAAATAAAGCACTTGAAAAAGTTGTGTGCCAAATGCAAATAAGTACTTATTAAAAGTGTTTGAAATCTAAAAAGATGCATAGATGCTTTTCTACTTTTTAAATGATCTGAATAGATAATGCTGTTTGTGTTGGATCAATTATACAACATCAGAAATTGTTTTTTTTTACTATTTTACCCCTAGAACATGCTATTTTGTAATTGTGAATGCAGTTAGCACTATTTCATATAAAATAACTCATCAAATTCAAAATAATATTGAAATTATACAAAAAATTAATAAAAATAATTAATCACTAATAAAAAATATTAAAATGATAAAATTTAATAAAAAATTAAAATTAATAATTATTTAATTATTAATAAAATTGAAATAACACAAATAAAAATAATAATTGATAATAATTACTAAAAATAATTAATAATTATAAATAACACAATAAAAAATAATAAAAATAATTAATCAGTAATAAAACATATTAAAATGATTAAAATTTAATAAAAACTAAAATAATCAATAATTAATTAATTATTTAATTGCTAATAATACTGAAATAACACTAATAAAAACAATAAAATAAATAATAATTACTAAAAATAATTAATAATTATAAATAACACAATAAAAAATAATAAAAATAATTAATCAGTAATAAAACATATTAAAATGATTAAAATTTAATAAAAACTAAAATAATCAATAATTAATTAATTATTTAATTGCTAATAATACTGAAATAACACTAATAAAAACAATAAAATAAATAATAATTACTAAAAATAATTAATAATTATAAATAACACAAGTTGCAGTGGCGATGGCGGGAAGACAGGGGAGGGTAGACCTGTTCATGGGCCGGGTGGCCCGACGGGCCGGCCCGGCCCGGCCCGACCCCCGGACGGGCTTGGACATTTTTATAGGCCTGCGGGCTTAAATTCGGGCAAAAAAGCCCGGCCCGCAATAAATTCAAGCCGGGCTCGGGTTTTGTCAAAATAGCCCGGCCCGACCCAACCTAATATTAAATTTAAAATTATGTGATTATGTCTATTTGAATAATTTTTTTTGATTTAAGAATGTAAAATTGTGTTGTAAAATATAAAAGAAAGGGAAAAATACCATCTTGTAGGCCCATTGTTCATTTAAATAGAAAAAAAAATACTTATCTGAAATTTTAATTCTAATTTGAATAGGGAAAATTGTTTTTTTTTTTTCAATTTGGTCGGGCTTCAGGCTCGGGCTCGGGCTTCGGGCTTTTTACTAGGGCCGGGCTCGGGCCCAAGTTATAGGCCCGTTGGTCGGGCCGGGCTCGGGCTCGGGCTCGGGCCTAGTATATTTTCATTAGTGACAAGTGAAAGCCCGGCCCGACCCGGCCCATGAACAGGTCTAGGGGAGGGAGAGAGATAGTGAGTGAGTGAGAGAGAGAGAGAGGTCGAAAAGAAAAAGAACAAAGTGATAAACTACGGCCATGAAAACCTACCTAGAGCTTGGATTCACGAGCGGCATTCTTCTTTCCTGTCCATGAGAGCGAAAACATGAATGACCTAGGTTTTTTGGGTTGGTGTTACATAGGGGTAAAGCATGTCATTTCGAAAAAGAGTTGAAGGGTAATTTCGACCATGCACTAGCTCTGAAACGCGTATGAGCGCATTAAGAGCTAGCCCGCACAATATGGTTTTCATATCTAAAAACAAAATTCAGATTAGTTTTAAGAGGAGACACCAAATGGGTATGAGGTTTGAAAAGCAACATTTTCAGACCGCAGACATCTAAAAAGTGCTATCAAACGCCACCTAAGTACTTGTTTTTAAGCACTTATTTTTTAACTCAAGCACTCCCAAATATGGCCTAATTAGGATATTTAAATTCAATTTTGCTTCTTATGAGACTTACAAGTCACCAATGGTTAAAAGATCATTTGATCCCTATGATGAGTGTTTTTTGTAGGTGATTTTATCATTTGTTAGAAAATCTTCACTTACTCATTTGTTGCAGAGTTTATTAAGCAAATATTTTTTAGGTTTGGAAGGAGTACAAATACAAATATGTATAGTGCAAAACTTTGTATTTTGTATGTATTTGTACTATTTTCAAATTGAGCCTTAGGCTGTGTTTGGTTGCAATGCAAATAAATTTGCACTGATGCAAAACCATGGCAGTACAAATTATTTGAGTGTAAATTTTGACCTATTTTTATTTCAAAATTTAACTTATTTTGTTTGAATGTAGTACAAATGAAGTAAATTAAGACATGAAAAAGAATAAAGTAAAATCCAAAACAAAATTAAACAAGAATAAAATTGTACTAGTACAAATAAAGTAAAAGGGTTTGATACAATTTATAAGCAATCTATATTCCTTTTCCCCTTTGCTTGCCAAGGAGTAGGAGTTGCTAGCTATACATCAGACCTGAGTAGCATTTGCCAAAAAAAAGGGACTGATTATTGAAAGAGTTCAATATTTGAAACAAACCAAAATGAATTAAATTGAGATCGGATTTAGTGCTCACAAGACCGTGTTAACATCATTCTCATAGCCTTTCACAATCGTGCATTAGAAATATCTTTGTACTTATATCCTTTCACAGCCATGCATTAGAAATATCTTCGTACTTATATGTTTTTTCTCATGAGGATATATTTCCAGTGCAAATTAAGCTGCAAGGGACTGTGCAAATTGAGTCAAGAAAAGATGCACATGTTAGAATTAAAGAAAAGAAACGTTTGAAACGTTTCTTCTATTTAATGGTCTCGCAAAGAGTTGTTCAATAACGACAGCCATTCACTCAGCATTCAAAGCCAAGATTTGAATAGACACATTGATGGGAAGGTAAATGATGAGGGCGGATTTGGCCCTCTAATGATATTGTGACACATGGCCCAGGTGCGAACTAGCAGCCTAGCACAGGCGCGAGCTGGCACCCTGGCACTGGCGCGACCTAGCGGCCTGGCCCTGGCGCGAACTGGCAGCCTGGCACAGGCACGAACTGGCGGCTTGGCCCTGGCACGACCTGGCGGCCTGGCACAGGCGCCGACCTAGCGACCTGCGAGACGTGCTCGGCGACAAATTCGACATGCATATCCTAACGCTCCCACGATCCTTGGAAGTTGGCCCACATGCCAAACGATCCGGAGGGTGGTCAACGTGCATGGCGGTTGCCTCCGGGAATCTCGGACCACTTAGGCGACCTCTCAGAAATCTCGGATGCAGTGCATGAAGCC